TTCCAATTACAAATGTAGAGTAAATAATTATAACCACTGTAGTTAATACTAAATGCATTGTAGTTGCAAATTGCAATCAAACATTTGTTATGCCGGCAATCAAAGTCCGTCTCCATCTGTCACTGACAATGAACAGGACAAGATGAAGCAAGTGGCCTGAAATATTTTGGTCCCAAATATTTGTCAATAATATCCCTGAGTCTTCCATATATACGGCTAAAATAAGAGACGAAGACGTTTACCCAAAAGTTTTAGGTGGAAAGTGAAAGTGAGGAACTGATAATACTTTTAAATTACAAGACAAAGTTGGAGGAAATATATATTGTTATAAAAGGGATAACATGTGCATTATGCAGTCATTATCGTGCGACAAAGATAATGATTGTTAATGTAACCCAATATTAATACACGTGCAACTATTAACCTATAGAAAAATAATAATTGTACTACATGTTCTATACTATTCTTGTACTACAACTAACAAATATATATTGTTCTTTTAGAAATGATTAAGAATAACTATGAATCATTATGATTTCTACATTTTTGTTCGTGGAGTATAAAAGAAATGTTAGTTTTATATAACACTTATCACAACTATAAATCTATAACATTAAACTTAATGTTATCTTTATATTTTTTTGGGAAAATGAGCAATTCAAATATATATTTTCATGTGGTTGTCAACTTAAAACATTTGTGAACGAATGTTACCGCCTCAATATTTATCTGTGAGGGGAAACAATAAACAATAAATTGATTTCTCTCGGTTGAGAAGCCGCCTCAATAATAGTCAAACTTGGAGACCTCGTGTGACGCCAGACCTTCCCCTCACAGAACTCCCCAGAATTTCTTTAAGGGTTAATTTCATATCACCCCCTTGAATGTTTGGGGTTGTTTCACATAGACCATCTGAACTTTGTTTATATTGGACGTTTAACCCCTCTGGAGCTTTGAAGTTGTCTCATCGAACCCCTTGATATAATTTTCATATAACTAAAATTTTCTTACGAGAAAAACTATAAACTTTATCATTTGTTACTTACGGACGGTATTACCCCCATGAAGTTTCACTCCTAACGATTTTTAGTGTAATCAATACTAAGTATCAATTGCGAATTTGCAAATATTACCTGTAATGTATCTTTATATAATTTTCCAGTAAATGAAGCAATTCATATATATATATATATATATATATATATATATATATATAATATATATATATATATATATATATATATATATATATATATATAGAGAGAGAGAGAGAGAGAGAGAGAGAGAGATGGGTATGCTTGTACCAAGCACGAAAAGTTATGTTTATAGTGAGGTATCAAATCTCCCTCGGCACTCATTCAAATGTGGGAACAAATTCCACATGGGTAGTGCAGTGGATGAGGATGTGACACATCATTACCAAACACAAAATTTTTGCTTGTACCAAACATACTCATATTTCTCATATATATATATATATTATATATATATTATATATATATATATATTATATATATATATATATATATATTATATATATATATATATATATATATATATATATATATATATATATATATAGAGAGAGAGAGAGAGAGAGAGAGAGAAGAGAGAAATATGGGTATGCTTGGTACGAAGCACAAAAAGTTGTGGCTTGGTAGTGAGGTGTCAAATTCTCCTTTCGCACTCATTTAAATGTGGAACAAATTCACATGGGTAGTGAGTGGATGGGGATGTGACACATCACTACAAAACCAAAAATTGTGGCTTGTACCAAGCCATACCCATATTTTATATATATATATATATATATATATATATATATATATATATATATATATATATATATATATATATATTTAATATATATATATATAATAATATATATATATATATATATATATATATATATATATATATATATATATATGGGTATGCTTTCTGCTCGCAAGAAATTCGCGCACCTTTGGCTGCTAAATCCCAGATCCTAAAAAAGCCAGCCCGAACTCAGTTGAGTTTACCCCTATTTATAAGGGATTAAGGGGTGTAACCCTCCCCTTAATTCGCTCCTAAGTTCGGCTGAATGAGGTGTAACCGCCCCCTTAAATAGCTCCCCAAATCGTGGGGAAAAACGGTTTTGAAACCGTTCAATTCGTGTTTTGAACGAGTCAAAACGTTGAAAAATAGCGTTCAGGGCCCGAACTCTGCGTTTTAGACTTGAAACGCAGAGTTGGGCCTATTTTGGTGGTTGAACGCACAGGTCGCGCTACGCAGAAATGAACTCTGCGTTTTGGGCCTGGGACGCAGAGTTGAGCTCTGCATGAACTCTGCGTTTTGAGTCTGGAACGCAGAGTTGAGTTCTGCATGAACTCTATATTTTGAGTCTGAGATGCAGAATTGAGTTTTGCATGAACTCTGCGTTTTGAGTCTGGGACGTAGAGTTGAGTTCTGCATGAACTCTGCGTTTTGAGCCTGGGACGCAGAGTTGGGCTCTATGCGAACTCTGCGTTTTGAGTCCACGAACTCTGCGTTTTGATGTTGTAACATAGGGATGACCTCTGCGTTTTGAGGTGGTAATGCAGGGAGGACCTCTGTGTTTTGCTTCTGGGAGTTTGGAACGCGGCCACTCTGCGTTTTGAGGTGGTAATGCAGGGAGGACCTCTGTGTTTTGCTTCTGGGAGTTTGGAACGCGGCCATGAGCTATGCGTTTTGAATCTGAGACACAGAGGTGAGCTCTGTGTTTGGATTTGAAGAGACTGTCAATTTGTAGTTTCTTTTGCTAAAGCGTTGCAAAGACCGTAACCTTGTAATCTTTGTCTTAGCTCCTTAAAAATATAAGAGTCGTCAGATTATAGCTCCCGATATTGATTGTGAAAGTTGTTGATTAGAGATTTCATTAATTATTTGTGAAGGTCATCAAATTGTAACCTTCATCGATCTACGTGAAAGTCTTCAAATTGTACCCTTTTAGAAGCCATCGAATTGTAACTTTCATCATTGGTGTTTGATGAGGATCAGCTATCTGTTATAATTTTTAGACAGCCTACAATTATCAAGCAATGGTTTGCAGAAGAATTTCTGGGCTGAGGCTTCGATATATTTGGGTCATCCTATTAAAGAGTTGTCAACTGCTGTGATTGGAGGTAAAAAATCAATTGGATATTTGGTCTGGTAATATCACATTGGATGAGGCTTCGATGAGGGAGACTATTGACTCTCGACAGGTGGAGAGTTTTGGACAGATCATAGAGGTATCACAGCAAGTGGAGAGTGATGCTACTTCACATTGGGTGGAGATTATCCACATACTCCAGATCATTCTGTATCGTTTGGGATTCCAGCTGAGGTGACACAGTTAGGGGATCATTTGGATTTGGATGCAGATGATAAGTTGTTTTTGGATTTGAGTGCAGCTGGTGGATATGATCTGGATACGGCCATTGGTTCACCATAGATGGAGGTGTTTGATATATTTCAGTTAGGGATCTTTAGGAGAGCTATCAGTTGCAGATCCGTTGGTGATGTTGGTGAAGAGTTACGAACTTTTCTATTTGATTGAGGTCTTTTAGAGACCATTGGATAAACTACGTGAGGCTTGATTCCTTGGGCAAGAGGATACGTAGGCAGTCTTTATGATGCAGCCGATTTGATGAGTTGATACCGACATTTGGAGAGTGTTCGCATTCTCGTTTGGGTCTCGACTTGTTGTGAATTGAGTTCGTTATCATGAAATGTTTCACTTCATACTGGACGCACCAAGTGAGACATTTGGTTTGGTTGGTGTCGGCTCAGTTTTGAAAAAACTTCACCGATGTGAAGAATTATGGGGGCCACATGGGCCACACCCACAAGCGGGGAAATCGCGTGGGAGGCTAAAAGCTAGCAGAGGCTCGTGAAATCACGAGGGAGGCCAAGAGCAAGCGGGCGCCGAATCCAACGGACAAAAGAAGAGGCCCAGTTTCGCATTTGCTTTAACCGCTAGGCTATAAATAGGAATGCCCTAGGGTTTCGTGTTGCTGTGCAAGGTTGGGCAGGGTGCAAAGAGGGGAGAACGTAGTAGAAAACACAACTGACTCTAAGAGAGGAGTTTTGTGCAGTTTTTGTGTTGATATTGAGAGGGTTTGAGCATCCTTTTAAGGAAGATATTTGTGAGAGATTGGAGAGTTAGTTTAAGGGTTTAATTTGTGTGATTGTAAACCTATTTGTATTCTTTTTCTCTAATAGTAGATCTCTCCCCTCCCCTCCTCCTTGCCCCATGGACGTAGGTTACTTGCCGAACCACGTTAAAATTGATTGTTTGTATCGTGATTTGTAATAGAGAGTTTAGGTTCCCTCGACAGGTCAGTCCTAAAACTGATGAGAGGAAGAGCTGATATCCCACTTTGTTGAGATATTTTGCTTTCGGTTCTTGTTTCCTTTGGACCTCGTGTGACGCAAGCGCTGATTCGTTCACAGAACTCTCGGGAATTCTTTTGTGAGTTAAATTCTTATAGATATGAAGTCAAACTTGGAGACCTCGTGTGACGCAAGCGCTGATTCGTTCACAGAACTCTCGGGAACTATTTCGTGAGTTAAATTCACATAGCCCCCTAAACTATTGGAAGTGTCGCACCTAGGCTCAATATTGGAATGTTTAGCCATTTGAACTTTAAACGTTTCTCACCGAAACTCCTACGTGTAATTTACGAAACGTTAAAATTCCATTGTGAGAATAACTTCCAAACCTTATTATTTGTTGGTTACGGACAGGATGCCTCATCTCAATATGGAGCCTCTCTCTCGCGGATCTAGTGAGAAAAGTTCAAAGTTTACGGGGCTTACGGTGAAACACCCACGGTTTGGGGGTCCGGTGCAACACATCCTAAAGTCAGGGGTGTTCTGTGAAATTAAACATTTTCTTATTAATTTAAAAAATAAAATAGAAAAAAGGGTAAAGACGGCAGTGCTACCGCCAGCGCTCACTCCCTCTCTATATAAACCGCGCCCTACCCCCTCCCCTCACCTCCCTTCCATCTCACCAACCGAACCAAGTGGTCGAGAAAATTCACCAAAGAAAAAAAAAAAACCTTAAAAAAAAGAAATGGGGAGCGAGAAGGGGGTGGTGCTTCTGGACTTCTGGGTGAGCCCATTCGGCCAGCGGGTCAGGATCGCGCTCGCCGAGAAAGGGGTCGAGTACGAGTACAGCGAGCAGAGCCTCGCCGAGAAGAGCCCGCTGCTGCTCAAATCCAACCCCGTCCACAAAAAGATCCCCGTTCTGATCCACGACGGCAAGCCCATATGCGAGTCCCTCGTGATCGTCCAGTACATCGACGAGGTCTGGGCCGACAAAAAAGCCCCGATCTTGCCCAAGGATCCCTACGCTAGGGCCCAGGCCAGGTTCTGGGCTGATTTTATCGACAAGAAGGTTTGTTTCTCGTGTCCCAAATTGCTTGAGGATTTTGTATTCGAGACATAGGTAGCATAGTAATCGCGTGTTTTCCCTTGTATATATATTTATCTCTACATTCTTATTAATACCATCAGATATACGAATGCGGCACGAGGCTGTGGAAACTCAAGGGGGAAGCTCAGGAGGAAGCGAAGAAGGAATTCATCGACATCTTGAAACTCCTGGAGTCCGAGCTCGGCGACAAGAACTTCTTCGGCGGCGACTCGTTCGGTTTCGTCGACATCGCCCTCGTGCCCTTCACCGCCTGGTTCTACTCCTACGAGACCTGCGCGAACTTCAGCGTCGAGAAGGAAGCCCCGAAGCTGGTCGCTTGGGGGAAGAGGTGCACGGAGAGGGAGAGCGTCGCGAAGTCTCTTCATGATCCTCGGAAGGTTTATGAGTTTGTGTGCTTTCTCAAGAAGAGGTTTGGTATTGAGTAAAAGGGTTCGGAGTGAAGGCTATTATGAGCAGTCAGTCTTGTAGTTCGAGTGCGAGGGGAACTTTGCTTTAGCCTTGTGGTCTCATTTAATTTCTGGTCTGCTTCCATGGGTTGAGCTGTGTGATTGCGTGATCATGTATCTTTGATTTGTGTGTTCAAACTGCGTTGATCAGTGTAGTCACTTATTATAGTACGTAATAATAATCCATTTGCTTTCTACTGTTGCATCATTGTGAGGTATGCCTATGCATCTCTTTTTTTTTTTAAATAATAAGCAGGGTGAGATACCTACTACTGGATATATGAATATATATTAAAAAAAAGGAAAAACAAGTAGCTGTTACAAAATGTTAATCTTACAAGATTTGGAAGTGAAAAGAGATCAGAGGAAGATATAGGGAGTGAGGAGCGCATCTTGTTGTCACCCATTTACCAATAGCTTCCACGATATTAGAAACTCCCAGTATAAACCTAAAGTATTACTGAACCTAAAAACTGAAAACAACAAAAACAAAATGGTGCCAAAAAGACAAAAGAAATCCCGCACAAAAGAGAGGGCAGAGAAGGAGAGTAGCCCTCAGCTACCCTCCATGAAGTTATCCCCTACTACATCCTCCGCACCCCCACTGGTCAGATTGTTCAAACCAAGATCAATTGCCGCCTTGTGCTGTCTCTGAGCTTTTCTGGTACTCGTAGCACCTGTTCAGAACATTATAAATCTGGCAACATTAGAAGCAATCAGCTGAGGGTTCACTGCTTTATCATCAAAAATAAGTTTGTTTCTACAGCTCCAAGTACACCAACAAAATGTAGGATGAAGAACCCTTCACAGAATTTTGATATTACGGCAGCTCAAAAGGTTATCATTCAAGGTAATAAGTGAAACCACATCCTGAGGCCAAGAGGCAAAAGAGACTTGGGGGGAAAATGATAGACCAAGTAGCTCTAGAAACAGAACAAGAGAAGAAGAGGTGAATCTGAGTTTTAGGTAGCTGATTGCAAAGAGGTCAGTTAAGATTACCATTCCACCCTTTCTTAGCAAGTTATCTTTAGTTTGGAGTTTTTCTTTGCTGAAAATCTAGAAGAAAACTTTCACTTTGGCATGAGTTGGGGAGTTCTAGATAAATCTAAAAAGGGGAGAGTGGATGCCTCCGCTGATGAGAAGAGAATAGAAAGATTTGACGGAGAACATATCTGATGGATTATGAGGCCACCGCAAAGAATCTTGAAGAGGAGAAACATTCGGCTGTAAGCCTTGAATGAAAGAAAGGAGATCTGTTGTATCAGATTTATCCTCATCGGATTTACTATATCAGATTTATCCTCATCAGTGTTGTCTCTTCTAATAATAGGTTGCCACCTCCAGAAGTTATGATGTAAAATACCTTGAGAACGGACAGAATATATACGGGAGAATGCGAGAAGATGAGCTCTGGGAAACAAGCTACTGAGGGAATTTTCATCTGTCCATCTATCATTCCAGAAGTTGCATGTGAGACCACCACCTAAATTCCAGCAGACATGGCTGAAGAAGGTGGATTGGATAGAACATAGATCCTTGATGAATTTAGAGGCAGAACACTCTGGAGGGTATGAAAATGGGTTAGAGTTGTTAACTGAATAAAGAGAGAAGAAGACTACACTGATGAAAAAGTCTCTATCAAAAATTTTCCATAACCACTTAGAAAGGAGGGCTTGGTTAAAGACATGGAGATTGATAACCCCTAAACCTCATTCCCTCTTAGGTCTGCAGACAGAACCCCATCTGACGAAACATTTAGTGTTGGATGCCTACTGTTTACCTCCCCAAAGGAAGTTTCTCCTAATTTTGTCAATCTCTTTGATGATACTAGATGACAACTTGAAGAAAGACATGTAATATAAGGGAAGGGAGAAGAGGACAGAGTTGATCAGGGTGAGTCTCCCCCTATAGAGAGGTTTTTATTTTTTCATAGGGCAAGTTTTTTTTAGAAAGAATCAAGAAGCAGTTGTCACTCACGCCTAGAGAGAGAGCCCCTTTTAAGAGGAAGGCCAAAGTAAGAGAAGGGTAGAGAGCCAGCTAGACAGTTGAGAATGTCAGCTAATTGAGAGCCTTGGTGTTCTACCTAGGTAAAAAAGGCTGGACTTAGAGTTGTTAATATTGAGACCAGAGATGCTTGCATAGATAAGAAGAACATCCTTGAGATTGAAGATATCACTTGGTGTTGCTTTGGAGAATATGATAGTATCATCTGCAAATTAGAGAGTTCTGATGTTATTAATGAGATTAAGCTCAGAGAGGTCCCCTGAAGAAGCACTAGCCGCTAAAGGACATCTACAATAAGGAGGGAGAGCATAGGGGAAAGGGGGTCTCCCTATTTAAGCCCTCAATGACATTTGAAGAAATTAGTGGGAGATCCATTTACTAACACTACAGATTTTTAAGAAGACAAGATATGAGATATCCAATTGTACCATCTGGGGCTAAACCCTCTGGCTTCAATAAGGGAGAGGAGGAAAGACCAGTTGACACAATCAAAAGCTTTATAGAAATCCACTTTGGTAGCGCATATTTTTTTTACCCAAAGAGCAATGGTTAATCATCTCGTGGGCAAAGAGAATGGAATCTAGCGCAGATTTACCACTCTGAAAAGCAGTCTGGGAGTGATCAATAAGGGAGGAAAGGATGAGCTTAAGTCTATTAGCAAGGACTTTTGAGAAAATTTTCACAGAACTGTTGAGCAGATTAATTGGACTGATATCTTTAGGGTTGTCTGCTCCATCCTTTTTTGGAACAAGGCATATGAACGAGTACTTGATATTATGGAGAGGTTAGGCATCATTAAAAATGGATTGGTAGAAAGCAATACATTCCTATTGAATGGTTAGCCAAAATCTGCAGAAGAAGAGAATGGGTAAGCCATCAGCCCCAGAGCCTTCTCTGGGTGAAGGTCAAAAATAGCCTGCTTAATTTCCTCAGGGGAGAAAGGGGAATCTAGGGAAGAGATGTCCTGAGGAGAGGAGGGATACAACTAACTCCAATTAACTTCAAGCCTAGAATTCCTATGAGCTTTGAAAAGGTTGGAGAAGTAGGAAAAAGGCATGTTTGATATCTGACTCCTCTGAAAGAATAGCGTCGTTAGAGATGAGGTGAGGAATGAAATTTTTTCTACGACGGTGGGAGAAAAAATGATGAAAGAAGGATGTGTTGTTATCTCCCTCTTTGAGCCATTGAATTCTAGATCTTTGCCTCCACTTGATTTCCTCTGCTCTAGCCAAAAGGAAAATGTGATCTTTAATATTCAATCTGAGTTGAGACACGGAAGGGGAGAGAGATCTATATTATTCCAACTTATTTAGAGAGTCCAACTCAGCCAAGGATTTAGACTTGGAGGAATAAATAGAACCCAGGACAAACCTCTTCCACCACTTAATTCCCCTGCGAATGAGTTTGATTTTGAAAAGGAAAGAAGCAGAAGCCTCACCCTGGAAAGAGATAGAAGATCAGCTAGATTGAATGAAAAGAGCAAAGGCAGGGAAGACAAACCAAGACTTCTTCAATCTAAAGACATGGGAAGGCTGGGGACCTCTGGAATCAAGAAGGATCGGGCAGTGATCAAAACAAGAAGCTGAGATGGAGGATTGAATGAGGTGGGGGAAGTGGGATGCAAAATCATCAGAAATAAAAAACCTATCCAACCTCGCAAGCATCGGGTTTTCCCTTAGTTTGTTATTCTGGTATTCAATGGCAAGACAAATTTTGTAGTATGGTAGTGCACGGTTCAAAATAGTCTTGTGCAGCAGGGTGTTGATCAAGTTTTGGAGGAGAAGAAACCTGAAGGATTGAAGGATGATGAATGGAGTTTCATGAAAAAGAGGGCGGTTAGCATAATTCGTTTGGCACTCGCCCCTGAGATCAAGTATAATATTATGCAAGAGACCACACCAAGGAGCTGTGCGAAAGGCTCGAGGAGATTTATGCATCGAAGTCGATGATCAACCGATTGTGTTTGAGGATGGAGCTTTATTCGTTGAAGATGCAAGAAGGTACTACAATTCAAGATCACATTAATGCCTTTAATCAGCTAGTTTGCCAACTTATGAATATTGATGAGGAGATTAAAGAAGAAGAAGAGTAGGCGCTACTCCCATTGTCTTCCTTGCCGAAGTCTACAAGGCATTAGTTCAGACGATAATTGCAGGAAAGCAGACTTTGAAGTTCAACGATGTGACAGCACTCCTACGTGAGAATGAAAGAATGATGGAAAAGGAGAGCACATCTAATAGTGGTAAGAGTGCACTAGCTTTTGAAGGTTCTAATCGAGGGAGGAGTACGAGGAGATGTGACAATTATCGAGGAAAGTCAAAATCTTGGGCCCGGGACGATAGCAAAAAGGAGTGCTATTATTACGGAGAGAATGGTCACATTCAGTTTAGATGTTCCCAGATGCATGATGATTTGAAGAGTATTAGACAGATGAAGGTTCAAGAAAATGGGAAGAAGACGGACTCCTCAGTGGTTGTGTGTGATGAAGATGTGGTTTTATTCATCCAGAGTGCAAGTACTGATGCGAGTAATGCTTGGGTATTAGATTTTGCAGCCTCTATGCACGTTTACAATAAAAAAATTATTTTAACACATTGAAGATAGATGAAGAATTTGACGATGAGATTGTTGGAAACAATGAGAAGATGAAGGTTGAAGGTGTTGAAAGTGTTTGCCTCAAGCTTCATACCGGGAATGTCGGAATTCTTCATCATGTGAGATATGTGCCGACATGTGGTGATAATTTAATTTCGTTAGGTGAGATGACATCACGTGGGTACAAGTATGTGGGTGAAGAAGAGTGATGCAATGTATATAGAGATGACGATTTGATTTTGCGAGGGAGGAAGAATAGCAATCATATTTGCTATTTAGATGGGCGATCCATTAATGATGCAGATTACTCTTCTCAGACTCTTGTCCATAAGGGAGAGGTGAAGAATAAGAAAAAGAGAGTGAGTTTTTCTGAAGTCGTTGAGACACTTGGAGATTTTTCGTCGGGGGAGGATATATTGGGTATCTACTCAAACTCCAAGTTAGGATAGATTTTTTAATTTTTTGTATAACTTCATGAGAATTAGATAAGGTTAGGATTCCATCATGATTGGGAGTTTGAATCTTATTCTAATTAGGAAGTTAGGCTAGAGATAGAGTTTTGGTTTCTCTGTATATATCCTTCTATTGTTAGAGAAAAAA